CCTGAGCTAGAGTGTGTGTGTGTGTGTGTGTGTCCGTCCATACAGGTACTTTATATTAATACAGGGATGTTTTTTGTATGAGTGTCGTACACCATAGTAACAAAGGCTGGAAAAGGACGTAGATGGAGGAACTGAAAGAGAACAAGGAGCTGGAAACGAACAGCAACATTGAGGAATTTCTCAATCCTCCCAAGCAGATGGACTACAAACGACAGGAAAACAAACCAACGCCGAGGACTCTGCCCAGCAAATTACGAACTCCAGAGAAATGGATGGGTTTCCTGAGCCAAGCGTAATGAGTCTGCCAGGCTCAGGGCAACAGGGCTAGAAACAAGGGCTGATGGCAGTTGGCAGGGACACATCAATGGTCTCCAGTTCAGAGCACTGACCTTACTCTGCCCAACACAGGGAGCAGCTGGTGGGCATCTGTCCCGAGCTTCATTCTCAGTACAAAAACAGATTTGTTTTCTCTGGGGCTTCAAAGAGAGGCAGAACATGGGAAGGCCGGGCCCTAGTTAATACCACTACCACAACAGACATGGAAAAAGAGAGAACAGCCAGCAAACATGTGCCGTCCCTCAGCCCTCTCCGCCTTCAGAAGCATGCTTCCCTCTGATGAGCCTACCTTGTGACTGTTCCCATAGCTGTCACCTTTCAGGCTCAGTGGGAGCGACATTTCTAAAGAGAGTTGGTGTTATCATCTGTGGCCATAGCTACCCTCAGCCTTCATAACACATCCCCTGGCTGCCCATCATCTCCCAGTCCAGACACCCTGGAGGAAAGGTACCCTGTACTCTCTCCTGACCACTTGCCATTTCTAGGATGCTAGAGACCCCAGGGAGGGCAGTGATATGGCTTATTGGGCAAGCTAAAAACTTGGTATCCTTTCAAGAAGATTTTCTGTAAGTATCCAACCGTTTTATGAATTGGATTTTTCTATATAAAATAATTGCACCTAAATTTCATACAGAAATTCCATGAATCCAGAACAACCAAAATAACATAGAAGAAAAAGAGGGCTGGGCGGTGGTGGCTCACGCCTTTAATCCCAGCACTCGGGAGGCAGAGCCAGGCGGATCTCTGTGAGTTCGAGGCCAGCCTGGTCTCCAAAGCGAGTTCCAGGAAAGGCACAAAGCTACACAGAGAAACCCTGTCTCGAAAAACCAAAAAAAAAAAAAAAAAAAAAAAAAGAGGAAGAGGAGGAGGAGAAGGAGGAGGAGGAAGAAGATTATTATTATTATTATTATTATTATTATTAAAGGATTTGTGCTTTGAGGTTTTAAATTTTACCACAAAGCAGCAGTAATCAAGTCGGTGTGGTATATTGGTAATGTCAAAGTAGCAGATCGTGAAATAAATCAGAAGGTCCAAAAATAAAACCACACAGCTATGGTACTTGCTTAAAAAAAAACAAAACTTGCTTTAAAAAACATCTCTAAAATGTTTGTTTACTGTGAGCATGTGCGCTTGCTATACACATATGTGTACACCTGTGTGTGTACATGCAGAGACCAAAGGAGGCTGTAAGCTGCTCTCCTTTATTGCTCCCTGGAGACAGTCTCTCAGTGGACCATTTTTGTTGTGGTTCTGTGTTGTGTTGTATTTGTTTAAGCCAGAGTCTCTCTATTTAGTCCTGGCTATCCTGGAACTCACTCTGTAGACCAGACCTCAAACTGACATTTGCCTGCCTCTACTTCCAAGTGCTGGGATTAAGGATGTGCAGACCATGCCAGTCTTATCGAGGTTCGTTTTTTTAGGCTAAGCTGGCAACCAGCAAGGCCCAGTGATCTTCTTGCCTCCACGTCACACCAAAATCCCCCAGTGCCGGGGTTCTAGGTACACACTGTGTCATGCCCAAGATGCACAAGATGAAAAAAGGGAACCAGCTTCTACCAGTTGTCCTTAGACCTCCACGCTTGTGCTACGGCACATGTGTACACACGCAATAAATAAACGTGAAAAATATTTTTAAATGGAGTACTGCTACGTGCTCCTACATGAGCCTACCTGGAAAACACAAGTGAAAGGAATCAGTCATAGAAAAACACACATGACTCTATCTACATAAAATCCCCTCAAGGAGGCATGTGCATTAAGGTAGAAAACACAGTGGTGATTTCTTGGGGTTGGAGATGAGGGGTGGGATTGGAAATAATAAGCTAAAGGGCACATTCTCTCTAGGGTGATGGAATTATTCTAAAATTGATCACAGTAATAGTTGCATAACTCTGCAAATGTCCTCAAAACCACGGAGCTGTGCATTTCCAATGAGTTGTTCATACAAGTTATATCTTAGCAGAACTCTTACCAAAGAATGAGCAAATACCCTAATGGAAATAAGAGGCATGATTCTGGAAGATACAACCACAAACACTTACAATGACTTCTTCAAATTACACGAAATTACAATAAAGAAGGAAGAGCGGGGTCCTGGCCTCAGCTTGGATAGACCTTCCTTTGAAGTCAGCTGAATTCTCAGAAGCAATGAGGCCATCCATGTGAGCTACTTGGCCAGCCCCTTCCTGGGGAACAGGGGTTGTGCTCATGGGATCCATTCTGTGTGTGTGTGTGTGTGTGTGTGTGTGTGTGTGTGTGTGTGTGAGAGAGAGAGAGAGAGAGAGAGAGAGAGAGAGAGAGAGAGAGAGAGAGAGAGAGAGAGAGAGAGAGAGAGACTTCCTGTAGGCAATTCTGACTGAAATATTTTTTCCCTTTGTGTTTCCAGAGATGCTTCTGCCTTCTTTAAATGTGTGCGGCATCATCACCAGGTCCCTCCAAGGTAAAGCCCACTGTTGAAGGCCAGGGCTGCCTGGTGTGTTGGGGAGAGGCCAAGGAACTAAGAAACTCAGCAAAGATATTTGCATCAAATGGTACCCACATTGGCTACCAAAACTGATCTGGAATCCATAGCTCCCAAGTCTGGCTCATGTTCAAAATACCCCTAGGAGGTCTTTAAAGGTTAGATTCTCAGGATCCACTCCTAGTTGTTAAAGCTTACTCTCTGGGAGAGGATCCTGGGAGCCTGTGTGCTGGGGTGGGACATAATCCAGTAGGGCAGGACATTTGCCTAGTGTTGGAGCCCTGGGTTCAATCTCCACCAGCACAACTAAAAGTCCAAAAATGCTTCTGGTCTTAACAGGAATCTCCATGGACTCATGATCAAAGATCATTTAGTGCCCAGTGACAATTAGCAGCCCAACAATAAGGTCATCATGGCAAATGGAACCCCAGGAAACAGAACTATTACTGGAAACATTTTCCAAGCATTCAAATTAGTGTCAAAAAGATCTAAGAAGAAACTGCATGAAACAAGCAGGTGGCTCCCCTTTCTCCCCAGTTCCTGCCTGCCTCCTCCAGCACACTCAGGTGACAGTCACGGGTCCAAGCAGCCTATCCACTTGATAGCCATCATTCCTAACCCGGAAGCCATGGCCAGCCTGGAGGATCCACGCCCTGCTGGGACTGGACCCTCCCCTGCCCCAGTCTGGAAGAGAGATTAGCTGAACAAAAGAACACAAGAGTGAATGCAGAGAAATATTCACATCACACCAGCAGCGAAAAGGACTGTGTTTCAAAGCTGGACACAAAGAATGATGTCGGTTTTGATACAATTAAGAAGGAGCAGGTGGAGATACCTAGAGAATGTAAGCTAGAGTGGTTATATTCACTTTTGAATGGAGACCTGGAAAAGGCTATAGCTCCCCGTCCCTCTCAGCTGGAAATCTCCCTTGTCTCGGACAGCCCTGTGTCCCACTGGGATTCATAGGATTGGTTTGTAGGATTTGGGAACATTAAATGAAACGATTCAGGTGACACACTGGAGACAATTCATGCACCTAGTGGGCACTCAACAAACTCATGGTTAGTAAATTCCTCCTTCTTATCCTCCCACACCAGGACCAGCGAAGTCCAGGCAGCCAGACTGCAGCCCATCTCTAGGAGTTCAACCTGCTGCTTTTCCATTACCCCTCTGTCCTGGGTGTATGTGTGTGTGTGTGTGTGTGTGTGTGTGTGTGTGTGTGTGTGTGTGTGTACAAACTGTGAAGAGCCAAATGTGTGGTGCTGGAATAAGCTGGAGAGCGGGGAGGCCAAGAACCCTCCTGAGGGCCCAATTCCTTGTGTGCTCTGCCTTTGGAATCTGGGTAAAGTCTGCTTCTGTTGCAGGACCCACTCCAACTTCGTAAAGAACTTGTAGACAAGTTAAAAGAGCATTGTTGGGAAGGCTTGCACTCAGCTATCAAAGCCCACCGCTGGCCAGAGAAAGACTCTCCTGTCAGTTGTTTTTTACTGCAGAGGAGGAACAAGCCCCTCCAGGCATGGAGGAAATGAAGAGCGGAGCAGGGCTGTGATCTGGGGAAGGGGTGCAACCCTTACTGTGCTTCCTTGGAAGGCCAGGTTTGCACAGGCCTTTGGGAAAGCTGCTGTCCAGCTGGGATTTGGAGGAATAGAGAGTCCGCAACTTTGGGACTTGTAGGGTCGATTGTCCCTTTCTGTTCACCTGAGCACTGATGCTCTCTTAGGGTCTGTCTTGGAGAAGAGACGGCTCCCATCTCCACTGATCGTGAGTTAGATGACCAACGGGGAGAGGATAGATTACAGCCTCCAAAATGGGCCTACAAGACGGCAAAGCCACCTGGACTTACCCTTCCCATCTAGTCCCTGAGCCAAAGGAAGCGGGTGATTGAGCTGTCCTGACACAGCAAACCCTGATTTAACCTGAGAGCTGGCTAATGGGGAGATCCGTGGTTACAAGGCAGGCCTCTGAAAGATAAACTGGGGCATGATTATTCCAGCCAAGTGAGGCAGAACCAACTGCGGCTGGCAGCGGCGGCCGGCAGCAGGTGGTGTCCATTGACTTGCTGGGCCTGGAGGAAGGGGCCAGAGAAGGTGTCCCAACGGAAAGAGCACCTGCTTGTAGCCTCCCTGCCATGGTGGGCGCTTGCCTTTCTGGCTTGGATTGCCAAGAAAGCGGTCCATTGGCAGCTTGGCCCAGAGGCACTTACCAAAGGTGGTGAGATAGAAGGACAAGTTCGGGTGAGCGCGCCGGCTCCCGAGGGAGACGCGGTGCAGGGAGCGCTCCATGGCGTCCCTGTTGCGGCCAGGGCAGGAGGGCCTGTCCCCAGGCGGTGGCTGTGTAGCTGCAGGTAACCCAGGCAGCAGACTCAGCCGTTCCCCCTCGCTCCGGCGTCTCCCAGGCGGGCGGGATCCCAGGCGGGCTGCAAGGCGCGTTGGGGAACGGCCGGGCGCGCCAGCCCCTGATTGGCCCGCGCTGGTTTGAATGGGGAGATTTCCACCTGACCTAGCTGACGCGGGCCAGATCCGGGGAGGCGTGGGCTCCTGGAGCAGGGAGGACTGCCACTAGCCACCAGAGGTGGCTCCTTCTCCGGTGATCCGGCAGGAACCCTAGCTCCAGCACCCGCATCTCAAGCTGCAGGTGCCAACCCAACTATGGCCCCGCCGCCTGGCTTGCCCACTTGAGCAAGCTTGGCCTGCTCGCCCAGCTCCCCCAGGCTGCAATTAGTTAGGTTTGTAACCGGCTTTGAAGCTCAGACCTGTAATCGCCAGACCAACCTGGAGCAAAGGAGTGCCTGCCCTCCGGAGTGGCCCAAGAGGGCATGGGATCGGGGAACATGAAGCTGCACATAGACAGGCTGCATGCAGCCTGGATCGCTCTCTTGAGCCTCCTTTTCTTGAGAGCAACGTGGCACAGGTCCAGAGAGGAGCAGCTTGCTCCATCCAGCCTCAGGGCTTCCCATCTGCAGCCTGGCGCCATCAGACAGAAGAGCAAGACTCGCCATCTGCAGATACAGTGCAGGGCAGGGCCTTTCAGTCTTCCCAACCTGGCGCAGGAAGGCAGATAGAAGGAAGGTCAGCCCTTGCATGGATTTGTCGGCAAACATTCATGAGACACCTCGAGGGAGCAGTTTCACACCAAGACATCTGCTCTGCAAATCTCTGCTGCCACTGTGGGAAAGAAAGCTGTTGGTCTCATGTAAACCTAAAAACGGGAAGTGTTAGAGTTTGTTTCTGGTCCCGACTTCATTGCCAGTGGATATTTGTGGTTCTGTGAGCCACTCAAGACAAGATCAGGGGAATGCAAGAATATAGTGCCAGGAGCCGAGCTGAGCAATTCACACACGTGTCATTTAGACTTCACAGTAAGCCTTAAAAGTATTAGCTAAAATTTGCCAGGGAGATATCTGAACCTCAGGCAGAAAGAGAAGGCAGCTTGCCCAAGATTTGCAGAGCTGCAATTTGAACTCAAGTCTGTCTGCCCCCAAAGACCATTACCCTTTGTTCTTCCATGGCCTCCACACATGCCCCATGGCCAAGAGCAGGCATGGGCAACAGACCTGCCTTTATGAGGATAAGAAATTGGATGCCATAAGTTCAGCGGCCCATGGGGGTGGGGTTGGTTGGGAGGGGAGAGCGGAGCAGAAACTGGAGAAGTCTACCTGAGGTTAGCAAACACATAGTCAAGTGCAAATGAGCCACATACTATAAAGGCCAGTGAACTATTTGACCCCTGGTACTTTCTGAACCCCTGTGCTGCTCTTCGCCTCCACCTCACCCCCCTGAGCTAAGAACACTACTACCCTGAGCAGGAGCAGCCCACCCCCCTAGTCCTAACCCACTGGCAGATAGACTTACCTATACCCTGGACCTGTGCATGCCTGATCCTCCTCCTAGGTGGGTAGGTCTGGGTCCAGGCATCCTTTCTGGACAAGAAAGTATCCTGCTGTGGCCACTCCATCCAGCCAGAGAAAATGGACAGCTCTAGCTTCAAACAATGGATGCAAACAGGGGGCTGAGTTCCAAAGTGCTGCAGACCTGCAGGATGGAGAGCAGAAGTTAGATATGCCCCCTGCAAGGAGTGTTCAGTCCCAGTGAGAGCTATACAGAATACATCACCTACACACATATATGTCATACAAATGCATACTCCATATGTGTGAACACAGGTGCACATACACATACACTATACATGCTCCTGATGCACAGGCACAAGAACACACATATATACCTTACAAATATATACAAAACACACTTCAATATACTACCTACATAAACCATATCCATAGGAATAGATTGATCATAGCATGGCTTCGTAAGAATCAGAAATATTTGAGTTTAGAAGGGAGGACTAAAAAGACTGATTTGAGAAAAAAAAAAAAGACTGATTTGGGAACATTTTCACACTGACTAACACAGAGTAACATATCTTCTTGCCCAATAACCAAAATAGTTTTTTAAAAAAAATAATAGGACAGGATGCTTGGACTGCCATGGTGGTTAATTTTAGGTGTAAACTTGGCCAGATTGGGATCACCTGGGACAGGAGTCGCCGTGAGGGACTGTCTAGATTGGATTGACCTATGAGGAGTTTTCTCAGTCGGGTTAGCTGAGGTGGCGAGACCCACCCTGAGTAGCACTGTTCTGTTGGCAGGTCCTGGATGGAGCAAAAGGAGGGGGACCAAACACCAGTGATCCTTGCTCTCTGCTTCCTGACTGTGGGAGCCATGTGAACCACTGGGGTGACTTCCTGCAATGATGGGATGTCACCGGAACTGTGAGTGAAAGCAACCCTGTCTCCCCTGTCTTGACCTTGTCAGAGTATTTCAATCACAGTGACTGGAGAAGAAACTGAAACGGACCACTATTTTAACAATGTCATGCCAGGAAGAAAAGACAAATCAACAATGGATTACCAAAATTCCAAGGAAAAATACTTTATTTAGGAAACAACAAAGTAGGTTCATTCAAACAATTAGAAGGGTAAGTCCAAATCGGATGAAACTCTTAACAGGAAGTAACAGAGAAAGTTCAAAGAAAAAAAAAAACAAACCAGATTCAAACAATAAAACCAAAGTCTGCTTTTTCAAAACACCAGTAAAGCAGAGCCCTCTTGAAAAACTACAAATAAAAAAAAGGAAAAAGAAAAACTAAAAATAAACAAGAAAAACGATCCTAAGATATGACAATAACTTCTTAATTATTAAAAAAAAATTTGTCGGTCTAGGGATATAGCTCAGTCAGTAAGTGCTCGCCTAGCATGCACAAAGCCCTGGGCTCGCCCTCAGCACCTTAGAATTAGAACCCGGACGCTGTGATGACCACCTGTAATCCCAGCATCTGGAAGATGGAGTAAGAGAATGAGAAGTTCAAAGCTATCCCTATCACACAGTCATTTCATGGCCAGCCTGGGCATGAGACCCTAGCTCTCAAAAACAAAGCAGTCAAACCTTTTCAAAAAGATTTACTCGCCGGGCGGTGGTGGCGCACGCCTTTAATCCCAGCACTCGGGAGGCAGAGCCAGGCGGATCTCTGTGAGTTCGAGGCCAGCCTGGACTACCAAGTGAGTTCCAGGAAAGGCGCAAAGCTACACAGAGAAACCCTGTCTCGAAAAACCAAAAAAAAAAAAAAAAAAAATCCTAAATATGCACAAGCCAAAGCCAACAGTTTATTCATGGTCAAGTGGTATTTCTTCCAGGAATCCAAAGATGGCTCAAATTTGGCAAACTACAGCCTAACCAGCCGAATCTGGCTGGTAGCCGGTCTGGGCACAACAGGTGAACTGAGAATGGATCGCACATTTGCAAGTGGTTGGGTAAGAATATAAGCAAATAAATAGCTTTTCTGGGTATGCTGGTACAAACCTGGGATCCCCAGACCTCAGGAGGCTGAGGCAGGAGGATTATATGTTTGACACCAGCCTGAGGCTACGAAGTGTGACACACTATCTCAAGCAAATAAACAAATACTTTTTTCTTGCCACTGAAAAAGGTACAAACATTTCTAATTGACAGATGAGTTAAGGACTAGGGATGTAGCTCAGTGGCAGAGAGCTTGCCTGGCTTGTGTAGACCCAGAGCTCAACCCTGAATGAAAAGGGAAAAAGTTAAAAAAAAAAAAAATTGTGAAATCTATGGCAAATATTAACAATAATAAAAACTTACAAACCAATAAAGACAAATGAGACAAGAGCACCAAAGAATATGAAGTACCATTTTATAAGAAATACAGTTAATACACGAACTACTAGGAGTTCATTCATCTAAGAGAATGAATGAAACCATCGGGCCCTATTACTTACCTTTAGAAAACCCAAGCATTTGTATTCATATGTGAAACCACTAAGGTACAGAGTTGCTGCCTGAATCAGGCTGCTCAACCAGGAAATGAGCAGTGGAGAAATAAGAAAGCCAGCTTCCAGCAAGAGATCCACGCCAAAAAGCCATCCTTTACACCAAGCTCCATTGCTCAACCAGACTAGATTAGTAGGTCTGCAACCTCCACAGCTGCTAACACAGTAAAATCCAATTCCAGGAGACAGAAGCTGAAAGATTAGGAATTCAAAGCCATCCTCAGTCACATAGTTCAAGGCCCACCCGGGCTGCAGAAGACTGTCTCAACAAACAAACTATTTTCAGTGCAACAGCTGGGTGTGGTGGCTGTAATCCCTGTAAATCCAGCGCTCTGGAGGCTAAGGCAGGAAGACTACAAGTTCAAGGACAGCCTGGCCTACACGGTGAAAACATTCTCCAAAAACAAACAAACAAACAAACAAACAATTATTTAAAGATTTGATGCGACCAGTGTTTGCTGCTTGTTTCTACGCCCGAGCCTCACACTGAACACTGGAGATGCAGAAATTATAGGCTATCAGATGGGTGTTACTATAGAGAAAACAAGAGTGACATTTGGAAACACAGACTAATACCTCATTTATTCTTGGCAGACCACGTTGATCAAAGAAATCAGAGAAGAATCCCAAAGGAAGTGACCTGGAAGGTGACTGATTCAGGCAAAAGTGGTGACGAAGGGGTTCTAGGCAAAAAGAACAAAACTTATAAAGGCCCTAAAATAAGAAGCATCATAGACGGCGGAAGAAAACAATGGGAAGCATAGGCAGGAATTGAGAATGGGAGGGAGGGTGACATCTAATAGGTTAAACAGGGACCAGATCATACGGGTCCTCACACTTTACTAGAATGAACACGGAGGACTGGGGCTATAGCTCAGCGGCAGAGCACTTGATTCGCATACATGCGGCCCTCGTTTGATCTCCAGCCCCATGAAATAAAGCAAAAGGAGTATGAGCTTTAGACCCTAAGAGCACAGGGTGGTCACTGAAAGATTTAAACAGGACCCTGCAAGCCTTCCTTCATCTTTTATAAAGGCCTT